GACGTAGCATTAAATTAAAAAAACGCGCACACAAACCAACAGATCCTTTCTCCCACCTTTTCCCTCCAGCGGTTATGCTCTCAACTCCCGATGTTTTACATTTACGCCTTTTCGAAGTTCGAAATCCAAAAGTTTACTTTCTGAAAAAGTCTCGCTCTACATTTCTTCTGAATCAAGCAAGTTCGACGAAGTGTTTTTTTTAAACAAATCTCTGCAAAGAAGACAAGAGATCAAGTAAAGGCTTTCACCGGAGAAACTTGAAGATCAAGTTCAACACCAAGTACAACCAAAATGGTTAGGGTTAAGGAAAAATCGGCTGTCAGGTATAAGCTATAACATAGACTCAAATATTACTCAATGCGATTGTTTTTTTGTTATGAAAACATGTGTATTATGCCCTGAAATGTGTTGTTTACATGTAAATACAAGCAAAGTAATTTTTGGTTCATAATCCGCATCTGACTGTATTTAAAAGGTCAAAATCCAGGATGATAGAAAATGTGATGTTTACTTAAGTTAACAAGTATATACAATCTATAAGGTATTATTTGATAGAAAATGTTGTCCAGAGAACATTTTTCGAAGTGCTTGTGTATGATGTAACTTCATTGAGTTATTATGTAACTTCTGTATGATAAAATGTCACTTGCTATTTATCTGCAAGTATTGGAGCCATATTTGATTATTGAACAACTTGTGTAACTTATGTAAATACAGACAGAATTTATGTAACATAAGTATATTAATATGTAACTTATGTCAATTCTTAGTTACATGTAATTTTGGGATATAACTTATGAAACAAGTGTATAATATTATGTAACTTATCAAAATTGGTCATTATAAAATTGAATTTTACAATTGTATTTATCCAATGACTGCTACTATACTGCCCAGAATTAATTATTTAACAGCTAGCGTGTAACATGTAACTACAAATAAAATAGATGTAACATAAGAATATTAATATGTAACTGTTGTGAGGACTTGTGTAACTTTTGAAATATAGATCTGAATCACATCCAAGGGCATAACATGTAACTTTGAGTTATAAATTATGTAACTAATGTATAATATTATGTAAATGCTGCTATGAGTTATATAAATTAATAATGTTAGCTTAAATTGATTATGACTTATGAATGTTATTATGTATAATATTAGGAATACAAGAAGCAATGAAACAGAACAGAATGAGAATTTTAAAATGGAAACAGGTGTATAATATGAATGTTATTCTGTATAATATTAGGAATACAAGAAGGAATGCAACAGAAGAGAATGAGAATTTTAAAATGGAAACAGCTGTATAATTATGACTTGTGAATGTTATTCTGTATAATATTCTGTGTTATTAAGTTGAGATGTAACTTCTGTTATTTGAGATGTAATTGATGTTAACCTGATATGTAACTTTTGTTTATTGAAATGTAAATGCTGTTAATTTGATATGTAACTGTGGTTTATTAGAGATGTAATTGCTGTTGAATTCAGAAGTAATTTGAAAAGAACCTACTATTCAATCAATTGTTTACTAACCAGTGTTATTGTCTTAGTTATTGTCAACTAATGTATAATATTATGTAAATGCTGCTATGAGTTATATAAATTAATAATGTTAGCTTAAATTGATTATGACTTGTGAATGTTATTCTGTATAATATTAGGAATACAAGAAGCAATGCAACAGAAGAGAATGAGAATTTAAAAATGGAAGATTGTGTACCAATACAGAGTCAAGAACCATTGCAACTGTTGACTTATGACAAGCCAACTACAACCAGAAAAAGAAAAACAGTTGTAATATCACATGAAGAATCCAAAAAGAATGATGAACAAATAGATGAAAACACTGTTGTCAACTTAAGAACCAGAGTAGGACCAACTCCATTTATCAAGTTGATTAAATTGCTGGATGAAAATAAAAGAGCAGCAATTGAAGAGATTGGCTTTGGAGGTCTGCTGAACCTAAGTTTTGACAGATTTTATGGAGACTTTGTACAATTTCTATTGCAAAGTTTGCGACCAATATCAGCTCAGCTACAACTCACAAATGGTGAGTTGTTGGATATTGAAGAACAAGATGTTAGAGATGTTTTTGGTTTGCCGATGGGAAAGATTGATGTCGAGGAAGCAAATGCCAAAAATGAAAGTGAAGAGTACATTGAATTGTTGAAGCAGTGGAGAGAGTACTGGGGAATTCAAAAGGGCAGCCCAGAGACAACAAAAATGATCCAAAAAATCATTGATGATGATGATTGTGGAGATGTTTTTAAGAGAAATTTTGTGGTGTTCACAGTTTCATGCCTCATCAGAGGCAATCAGAGTATAAAGAGCAACTTCAAGATCTTGCTCTCTCTGATAAAAGTTAATGAAATCAAGAACTTGAACTGGTGTAAGTATGCAAGACGATCATTAATGGATGCTGGAGAAGAATGGCAAGCTCAGCCAACAAAGATGTTCACTGGACCGTTGCTGTTTCTGATGATTTGCTACTTCGATAGAGTGCAATTTAAAGGTCAGGTTTTGGATACTCTTTATCCAACCATCAGAATTTGGAGCAAAGAAAGAATTGAAAAGAGAATAAAAGACGAGAGGAAGTTGGGATTCGGGCTCGGGAAGGTGATCCCACGAATTATGATAGATGATGAAGAGAAAGAAGAAAGAGAAGAAAATGAAGAAGCCAATACAGAACAAAATGAAGATGAAGAGATGATTTCTAAAGAGGTAAATTTTAAATAAACACTATATCTAGGTTAGTTGCTTCACTTATGTCACTGGAGTTACACACTATGGAAGTTACATACTGTTGATCATTACTTACATATACTTGAACTAAAGTTACATACAATTGATCATAAGTTACATTGCTTATATTTCATATCTAATGGTATATGAAACTTACAAATGAAATTTAATCTTTGTAGGACTGTGTCAAAGAAATAATTGCTGTTGCACAGAAGTTCAGCGATGCTTTTGTGGAATTCTCAAAACTTCCAGCAACAATTTCTAAAAGATTTCCCAATTCCGATATCTTGAAAAAGATATACTTGACAACAGCTGATTACTTCTTCAGACAAGCTAATGGCAGTGCCAAGGAATCAGAAAAAGAGAGGTTGGCAGAAAAGTGCACTCTTGATGAGGACGATGATTTTTTCAATATACCAGGGGTAATGGAAGCCCTAGATAGATTAGAAAAAGCTGCTTATCTGAAGTTCTCAATGCCTTCATTTGATATGGGCATTGAGTTCAGCATGACACAACCTTCTCAAAATGAAAAAAATTCAACAAATGAGAATCCAGTTGCTCAAATGACTGAAGACCCAATAATGAAGATTGCTAGAAACATAGAAGAAGAAAACAACAAAGAAGAAATGGTTGAGATACTTGAAGGAGGAGTGAGGGAAGCAGAATATAGAAATCAAGAGGATGTTGTAACTGAAGAGCAAGAAAATGTAGAAGAAGAAGTGAAGATGACAGCACATGTGGCAAAAGGCAGAAACTGAAAAATGCATCTAAGGCAGCTGATACAGAACGGAAACTCAGGTCACCATATCTCAAACACAACCACAGGCTGTGCAAGGAGATGAGGAAGGAAGAAAAAATGGTGATTGACTATGCATTTTCAAAGGAAGTTGGAAAGTAAGACGTTCTTTATTATATATATCATTATTCAAGTGATTATGCAAGATGTAACTTCGGTTATACTTTATGCAAAAAGTGTATAACAACTATGTAAATTGTTTTCAAAGATAGAACAGGCTTTAGAAATTGTTGAATTGTATTTATAAAATTTAACTTTTTTATTTAATCATAGAAATCATTTACGAAATAATGTTCACTGTGTTTTAAAAAAAACATGCAAATGCTGTTAATGAAAGATGTAATTGTTATTAAGTTGAGATGTAACTTCTGTTATTTGAGATGTAATTGATGTTAACCTGATATGTAACTTTTGTTTATTGAAATGTAAATGTTGTTAATTTGATATGTAACTGCGATTTATTTGAGATGTAATTGCTGTTGAATTCAGATGTACTTTGAAAAGAACCTGCTATTGAATCAATTGTTTACTAACCAGTGTTATTGTCTTAGTGAATTGCATACAACTTAACTCAAGTTACATACACTTAAACTAAAGTTACATTTTAATAAACATAAAACTACATAAAACTTAACTCAAGGCACATAAAATAGTTGCATACATAAAGGTACAGTTCAATTACATACAGTAGAACAAAAGTTACATACAACAAAACAGAAAGTTACATAAGCTTTAGCGCAAGTTACATACATTAGAAAAGAAGTTGCATAGATTTGAATGTAATTTACATATTATTAAACAAGATATTAGAGCATACTGCAAACATAAAACGAAGAACCAAATTACATAAAACTAAACAAAAGTTACATACAATTGAAATAAAATGACACGACATCGAACAAAAAATAAACAAAACAAAAATTGAATCACATGACAGGAAAAGTACCTCTACTAAGAAGATGTAACAATTTAGAAGCCATTGAACCAGTTTCATCTTCTCCTGAAAGGAAAACAACAAAATTCAACCAATATGAATACTACACTCCAAATTCTAAAGCAATAAGATAAAATAGAAAACAAAACATATTACAGCATACTGCAAGCATAAATAAGATAAATTAAATTCACAAAACTCAAAAACTGTAATGTTTACCAATGTGCTCGATATGAATCGGCTGATCACATTCAAAATTATTGTCAACGGATGAAGGAATCACGTTATCATGTATAGTAAAAGGAATAGAATCTCCGAATTCAATCGATGAATTCACAACAGCTGAATCATCTAAAGAGAAATCCATTGAAGCCTTTGAAGGCAAACCAAGTTCGTAAGCTCAGTGAAACAAAAACGAAAGAAGGAAGCGGAAGAAAGAAGTCGGCTGAAACTGAAAACAGAAATAAGAATCTATTTTTTTTAATGGAAAACTACACAGTTTTGGGATCCCCACGCGCAGTGGCCGATCCCACGTTATAATTTTGCAAAATAACCGGTCCTGCTGGAAGAGAGCCGTAACCAACACGGATGATCGTGCCAGCGCCGTATAAGACACTTCGAGGTTCAGTGTTGAATTCGGATTACAAGGGAGGAGATGGAGAGCAAGGGTGAGACCTCAATATTTCCGGCGGATTTGGATTACCAATCGGGCTTTGGAAATCACTTCTCGTCTGAGGCCATCGCTGGAGCTCTTCCTCGAGGTCAGAATAGTCCTCTTCTTTGCCCCTTTGGCCTCTACCCTGAGCAGATTTCTGGCACCTCTTTCACCTCCCCTCGCAAACTAAATCAGTTCAGGTCTCTCTCTTGTGATCAGTACTAGAAGCAGTAATTATAATTATATTGGTATGATATAGAGTCCATTTGGTAAAACTGAAATTGGTTGAATCAATCAGCTAATTATATTGAAATTGATGAAGTTGTTGTTGGAATGACTCAATTGCCATAATCTCCTGCTATATAAAAAATTATATTTAAAATATATTTTATTAATAAAATTAATAAAAAATTATATCAAAATAGCTAAGGTGATTTAGGGTGATTTCAACCGATTCAACTAGAAAAGTAATTCCAAGCTTACTTATTTTTATTAGTGCACCATTTATGAGCAAAATAAAAAGTTACTTGTTTGTTGAAAAAATCTTTAGATAATACTGAGAAGCCCAAAAACAGGGTTATCAAATGGGTTCTTGTTGTTCAGAATTGCTTTATTGAATGAACGTGAAACTGGAAAATGCTGCAAAAGGAATTTCTAAAACATTTGCTCCCTCTGTATCTGTATTCTTTTCATTTCTTGCGCCTTCCTTTTTGGAGTTTTGGATGCATTTTAATTATTGTTACACTCTCTTCTTTTGTTAAATTTTCCTTAAAGTATTCAATTACCCTTATTTTTTTATCATCTCTTTTATACTTTTCACCATTTCTCCTACTTTTTTCTACGCTATTCACTTACTTTTTCTAAACTATTCACTATCCTACTATTTTTTCTTGAGAAACCTATGTTGCACGGAAATGTGAGAATTATCAAGAAACGGGAAACACCATTGTTTATTAGAAAAACAACTGTTTTGAAGATTTTCCGAAGTGTTTCCGTAGAGTTTCCGTTTTCCGAAAGAGAAACGTACTGTTTCCCAAGTGTTTCTGTGCTTCATATCATATAATTTTATTTAATGATCCATAATAAATACCCTCCACATGTTCAAATTTAGAAATCATTAGATATTACTTCGTAGTATGTAATTAATAATAATATGAAATGCATTTCTACACATTGCATTATAATATATATCAGAATGTTGCCAGGAATAAATCCCATATAAATTCACTAGAAAGCTATAATAAAGGCTCTATTTTCCATATACGAATCCCACCAAAAAGGGAAAGAATTAGAAACCCAAATTTTCCGAAACTCTAATTATTTAGGGAAATAGGTTTAGATATTCTTCTTAATCACGGGAACGGACCAGAAATGACAATTTGAAGTTTCCCAAGGCTTTTGAGTTTCCGTAATGGGGAAATGTGAGCCGAAAAAAGTTTCTGTACTTCCTAGCCATCTATAGATCTAATTTTAAAATATGGAAAACTGGTAGTTTCGTTTTGGTGTATGAAAGTGCACAACTAGTTTAAACTGGTAGCTAGACTTTTCTGGATCATAACATGACTTCCCTTTGGGGTGATGTCTTTTATGCAATTATTTTCTGAAAAACAATGAAACTATATTCTGATTTTACAAATAAAGGAGAGGTTGAAGACATGACTTTATCAGTTTTGTCCCTCTTAAAATGAAATTATTGTGAAATCATATGCATCAACGAGTAATAGTAAATTTCTTGATCACTGAAATGCTTAATTATTACGGAGTAATTATTAATAATGGCTGGTCAATGGGTACCAATATGGCCATCACTAATATAAAAATTATTTGACTCAATTTACTAATTGTAGATTGTTTGTATAATTTTCACGGTAGATAAGTATTTATTAAAATGTGGGTATTTTTCTCTTTTCTTAACACATGTTCATATGCTTAAAGTCAATTACTCATAGGTGATTAAACAGGTAGGCGTAGGGTATGAATGTTATTTCATCAAAGTTTCAATATTAATTAGGGATCGAGGTGTTTCAATTTATATATAGCACTGATTTGGGACTTTGGATGATCAATGTGTGTCAACCCAATAAATCCTTAATATGTGATCTTTCTAAATAATCTTATATAATTGTTCATTTGTGTGGACAGTTGGCTATATCGTGTTAAACCATCAGTTACTCATGAGCCATTTAAACGTAGAGTTCCAACACATGAAAGGCTTGTTAGTGAGTTCAATCAGACTAACAGTTCTGCTACACCTACTCAATTACGGTGGAAGCCTGCAGATATCCCAGAAAAACCAACCGATTTCATTGATGGGTTGTACACTGTATGTGGTGCTGGCAGCTCGTATCTCCGGCATGGTTTCGCAGTTCACATGTAACGCATTTCCCTGATCTTTTGAATACAATTCTGGAATGAGATCATTTCTTGTGATACCATTTAATTGTTTTTCACGTGGATTTAAGGTCTTTGACAATATCTTAAATACAACAACATCTAAGCCTTAATCCTAAAAGATTTTGGGGTCGGCTAACATGAATCGATCCATGATATCAGAGCCAAATAGAGAAGAATGATAAGAAAAATAAAAAGATGGGATAAAATAAAATGGATAAGACAAAGATAAATATAAGATAAAAATAACATAAGAACATAACAAAGATAAAAGATAAAAAGATAAAAGAACATAAAAAAAATAAAAGATAAAAATAACATTAGAACATATAAAGATAAAGAAGATAAAAGACAAAAGAAAAGAAGAGTGAAAAGAGATAAAGGAGATTAATCATCCACACTAATATGCGTCCCCCACTTTGCTCTCTCTAAAACCATACTAAAACCCAAAAAAAACATATCAGTTCTTATTCCTCTAATCCAAGCCTGTTTGGGTCTTAATCTCAATTCATCTAACATGTGCAACACTCGGTCTTCTATGCACATGATCAAACCACCGCAATCGAGACTCCGACATCTTATCCTCCATAGGTGCTACTCCCCTTTTGTCTGATTAACTCATTCATCAAGCGGTCTGTTTTGGTATGTCCACACATCCAACGCAACATACATATCTCTGCCACACCCATCCATTGAATGTGACATTGTGTCACCGCCCAACACTTTACCATACATTAATGCACACCTAATCACATAAAAATCCTGATGCACTCTGGCATTCCATCCATCCTGCTTTGATTCTATGGGATACATCTTCATCTAATTCACCACCAACATCCAAGCCTTAGTCCCAAAATCTTCATCTAATTCACCATTCTTCTAAATTATGGAGCCCAAGTCATAGAACATATCACACAAGGGTAATCCCACTGTTATCACTACTTCTATGATATGAAGCAGAATCTGGGCTTGGAAGAAGAGGGGCAGAAGCCCCGTGGGTTACAACTGTGATGATCAATGGGTACGCGGCTTCTACCAAAACAATGGGTACGCGGCTTCTACCACAACCCTTAACACAACCCTTTGCGGTTGTGTTACAACTGTGATGATCAATGGGTACGCGGACATCGTTGCAAGAGGTTGTTCTTCCTTGACATCGTCGATGAGGAACAACCGATCGACAACTTTCTGGAGCCTGAACCCGATCAACCCCTGTCACTTCACACAATGACCGGGTTTGGCTCATCCTCAACCATGCAGTTAAATTGTTGTCTACACGGCCACCAATCAAAATTTTGGTTGATTCCGGAAGTACACACAACTTTATCCACAAGCGCCTTGCAACCACGCTTGATCCACAACCGCCACAACAGCCATGTAGGCATGTTATTGTTGCTAACGGTGACCGAGTTCTGATCCTAGGTTCTTATCGAGAGTTGGCATTCCACGTTGATGGGAAACAATTTATCGCAGACTTTTACGTTTTGCCAATAGTAGGTTTTGACATGATTTTAGGTGTCCACTGGTTGCAAGGCCTCGGCGCTATTTTGTGGGATTTTAGGCATAGGTCCATGAGCTTTACCTGGTAGGGAATGTCTGTTGAATGGCGTGGCCAAGAAGCAATTCATTCGCTTCACGTACATATGGCAGTAGACTCTTTTCCTTCTCAGGGGTCTATGAATGGTTTACTGTCCCAGTTTGAAGACATCTTTGGCACACCCACAGGCCTCCCTCCCCAACGATCGTGTGATCACAGGATTTGCCTCGTTCCAGGAGCTGGACCAGTGGTAGTGAGACCATACAGATACCCATATTTTGAGAAATACGAGATCGAAAAGCAGTGTACGGAAATGTTATCGCAGGGCATCATCCGACCTAGTCGATCTCCCTTTTCCTCGCCAGTCTTGTTAGTAAAAAAACCCAGATGATTCTTGGCGTTTTTGTGTGGATTACCGAGAGCTTAACTCCAAAACAGTTAAGGATAAATTTCCAATTCCAGTAATCGACGAGCTTTTAGATGAATTACATGGTGCCAGGTACTTCACTAAGCTCGATCTCCGCTCCAGCCACCACCAAGTCCGCATGGCACCGGAGGACATTGAAAAGACAGCTTTTCGGACACATCACGGTCATTTTGAATTTTTGGTTATGCCATTCGGCTTTACCAATGCGCCGTCCACGTTCCAGAGCTTAATGAATGATATATTTGGCCCATATTTGCGCAAATTTGTTTTGGTTTTCTTCAATGATATCTTGATATATAGCAAATCATGGGTTGAGCATGTAGCACATGTCCACCTTGTCCTTGATATCCTCCGCACCCATGGCCTGTTTTTAAAATGATCCAAATGCAGTTTTGGAGCCCCGCAAGTTCACTATTTGGATCAGACAAAAATACATGCCATCATGGAATGGCCTGTTCCGCAAACAGTCACGGCCTTGTGTGGATTCTTGGGCCTAGCCGGCTATTACCGCAAATTTATTGAGCACTATGGGGAGATTGCTCGACCTCTAACCCAACTGTTATCAAAAAAGGGTTTGATTGGACAACAGATGTGGCTGCAGCATTTATTGAGCTCAAGAAGAGGCTCTCCACGGCACCGGTGCTCCAGCTTCTTGACTTCAGTAAGACTTTTATCGTGGAATGTGACGCTTCAGGCAGCGGATTTGGGGCGGTTTTACAACAGGATGGGCATCCCATTGCCTATTTTAGTCGCAAAATAGCAGATCGACATGTAAAATTGGCAGCTTATGAGCGTGAGTTGATTGGTCTAGCCAAAGCTGTAGTCCAGTGGCGCCCATACCTATGGGGACAACAGTTCCTGATCCCCACCGATCACTCTAGTTTGAAACATTTACTTGACCAACGTCCTACCACATCACCACAACAACATTGGTTGAGCAAATTGATGGGATTCAATTTTCAGGTGGAATACAAACCTGGACGGTTGAACACGGCTGCAGATGCATTGTCCCGCCGAGATGAGGAACCCGTCTTGCTGCTCGCCTTGTCTATTCCATTCTCTACATTATTGACTGAGGTTCGTGCTGCTCAAATCTCATCCTCTGAGCTTGAAATACTCCAGCAGCAGGTCCTGGATGGCACTCTTGGCAGTGACTGGGCATACCGCGATGGGCTGCTTTATTTTCGCCATAAACTATACTTGTTGCCTACATCACCTATCATTCCGAGTTTACTCTCATTATTTCACGCTATGGCTCACGAAGGTGTACAAAAAACATTGCACCGTCTGTGATGTGAGTTTTATTGGTCTAATATGAAGGCGACAGTAGCACAATACATTGCCGAGTGCCAGACGTGCCAACAACACAAGTGGCAAAACCTACAACCTGCTGGGCTGCTCAGCCTCTACCAATCCCTCAACATATATGGGCTGATATTTCCATGGACTTCATTGAAGGACTTCCTAAGGTTCGGGGTAAGTCAGTAATATTGGTGGTGGTTGATCGACTGTCCAAGGATGCACATTTCATCCCCTTGAGCCATCCTTACACATCTGTTTCTGTGGCTGCAGTTTTCTTTGTAGAAATCCTCCGACTCCATGGTCTTCCAGAATCTATTGTGTCTGACCGCGACAAAGTTTTTGTCAGCACATTTTGGCGCGAATTATTTATGTGGCTGCAGTTTGTGGCTAACTTGAGCAGCAAGATTATTTATTATGAGTCTCCTAATCAAACTACTATTGTTATTTCCTATTCCAGTTTTAGGCAGTTTCCTGTTTCAGTTTTAGGCAGTTTCCTATTATCATTATGTCCTATTAGAATTAGAGGTCTGTTGGTAGCTCTATATAAAGGACCCTAGTATTGATTAAGGGGGGACTTTTGGGAGAATTAATTCTGGTGGGTCTTGACTAGGTCAGACACCAAATTAATTCCAATAAAGCACTATTATTTTCGTTTCTCTTCTGGTGCTCATAATAGATACGAAAATTGATCTTTCTCTTTGTCCTAGTTCGCTTTCATTCTCCCGTTCTCGACCTTGGACGAGATCTTGTTCACGCGCTCTTAACAGTCTCATCAATCAATAAAATATCGTTGGCAAACATCATACACCATGGTATATCTTCTTGAGTTGACTCCGTAAGTTCATCCATGACTAAGTTCATCCACCTCTTGAGCATGCCAGACCACACCTCACCACTAAAATCTCTTTTCTGCCCTTGTTTAGATGACCTCGCAAGACGTTCTTTGTCTGTGGCAAGAGCTTCCCATTGTGAAGACTAGGTGGTGTGGGAGACTGTGCTGCTGGCATTCCCTTAAATTTCTTAGAAGTAATGAAATGTGGAAAACATCATGGACTCTACTACCCTCCGGAAGGGCCATCTTGTATGCCACTTTCCCAATTTTCTGGATGATGTGGAATGGCCCAAAGTACCATGGAGATAATTTAGCTGATGTCCGTTTGGTTATGTTGAATTGACGGTATGGGTGTAGGCGAACCCAAACCCACTTTCCCTCGTTGAGCACAACGTCTCGGTGTCTGTTAAGACGACTATGATCACAAGGCCTAATAATAATAATAGTAATAATAATAATACTAATAATAATAATACTAATAATAATAATAATAATAATAACGTCAAGTACTTTGATAAGGTGTATAAGAGGAGAAGGGTTGGGCAGTCTAATTGAGAGCGGGAACTATTGTATGGGCTGGGCCGTATATATATAGTAAAGTGGGAGTGAGAGAATAGGCAGGCAGAACTTGGAAAGTTAGTTGGAGGGAAGGGCACTCTCGAATATGTCCTAATTGTATCTCTTTCATCTATTTTCTGCCATTAATACAATCTGGAACTTGCTTATTATAGAATTACTGATTTCCCTTGCATAAATTGTTCTGTCGATCTATGAATCTATGATACCTATCATTTGGTATCAGAGCACCTTCCTGGAAGATCGGTGAATGACCTGGACTAGAGCTCGGATGGAACACAGAGTGGAGTCCATGGAAAACAACGTTC